GGCAATAAAGTTCACCTACACGGCAATTGCAGAGGCGAAAAATATTTGCATGCGTTAAGTAAAGTCTGCTTCTGATGATGCCCGTTTTTCCGGTATTCCTTATGCATTATAGTAGCAGGTTATACATATAGCACAGTGGCAGTATGTCTGCCCAATGTGGGTTCTGTCCACCGCTTTATATTGCCAGGCAAGAATAATACATGAACAATACTCTCTATGGTTCATAAGCGGCAAGCGAGTATTCGCCTGTAAACAACCTGAGGTACCGAATCACCAAGTATGCGACTGTTCGGTGCTAGTCCTTCCTGCATGGGACACACCTCCAAAAAAACTTATTTTGCTAGAACGAGTAATGCTCATAAATTCTCTTGACTGAAGCGCTTCAGTACAGAAACAGGGCGGAAGAGAGGCAAAGGAGGGGTTACTTATTGCATGACTACGTATCGTCTATTATGCTAAAGTTCCACGAGGAAGCCTTGAACCAATGAAACAGTTTTCATGCACGCATAAAGCTCCAAGTACCTAATCCCCGTGACAAGAGCGAAACGATAAAGGGCGAAAAAGGAGCAGTCTTGCGTTGTCTGATAATGAAAACCATGTTGCGTGTATTGCTTGATTATTGGCTTGGTCTACTGCATCAATCCAGCTCGGAAAGCTACTATGTATGCTCAGTCATCGAAGCGGAGAGCGCAATAAACATATCCAGCAGTATTGATTAGAGTGGCATCAAGGATTGAGGAATCCAATGGACAAGTGGGGAAGCAAGAAGAACAGGGCACATAATTCGTAGCCACAAATGTTGAGAGGGGTGTGAACAGTTTGGACACTGTTGACATGTGAGACAGGGTGACTGCGATTTCAGCAAAAACATCTCAAAGAGATAAGCAGCTTCAGCAAATGCTTGCTTCCTGTGGCTCTTAAATCAACGGCCAGCAGCGCGAAGCATCACAGGAAAAGAGTTTTTTTTATATATCTGGAAACTATAAGGTAGAACACTAGCTATGGCAGACTCTAGAACGTTCACAGCGTGGCTAATGAAAGGCATTACGCTCCAGGCGGAGTCAAGCCGGGTATGATGAGCTAGAACTTTCTGAATATTAGCTAGAGGTACAAACAATCCGTTGGCGTTTGGCCTAAAGAGGCTAGGTTCGTGGGAAAACGCCTCATCTACAGCCGATAGACTGTGCGTAAAGGATATCGCGATAAAAGAATGCTTTAAGCCACAGAATAATCCTCTGCGCGTGTTCAGCAGGCAACATACTCTTAACGGTTATTGCTGCACTGTGCACCCTACACCTTTCCGTCGACATTCCACCAAGGGTAAGTTGAGCCTCGTTTCAAGCCCCGTATTACGTGCATTGTACCTTAGCCGTATGTGCATTAATATATTTAATAGCCGAAGGCTGGGCTGGGGCAAAGCCGAAGGCTAGAAACAGTTTAGAAATGTGGCTGAAAATTCTCTGGTTCATTAACATCTTGCACAAACTCTCTGGGCTACTGAATCTTTGTCACGGAGGGCTGCTTTGCCCTTCGAAATTTGTAAACCTGGCAGCGTGTCTAAGCACACGGCCTTGAAGTGACAAGAAGGTTTATTGCTGTCAGACGCTACCACAGACAGGTTTCGAGGGCGCCGAGACAAATCAAAAGACCAGGCCGAAATTTGATCCCAATGAAGGATATTAACAAGGATCTGATGCGAACATGAGAGGCATTGAGGATACTGCGTACCTATGTCTTGCCGTACGGGAAACGCTCTTTAGCATTGGTTGCAATATGGGTATTGTAGCCTGGGAAGAACTAGTATCTGTAACACTTGGAGGGGGCCTAGAATATTTCAAAACCGTTGCGCATTATACCTCAAGGCAAATGGAAAGGTTATTAGGACAGATGATAAGCACAATCAGGTGTGTAACAGCCACATAGGCCTTCGAATACTGGGTAGAATGATCTTTTGATGGAGGTGCACAGAACGCATCATAGCCTTCTGTCCAGCTGAGAAAACGCAGGTACACATGCGGTATGATAGCTGCATGAAATCTAGCGGTTGGCGCGGTTCTTTCGACCTGAATCACGGCAAAAATGATTCATACTTTACTAACAACTAGAGTGCCCATGGTGGCTCTCAGTGAAGTAGTGATCAGATAACCAATGGAGGCTTGACATCCCTGCTGTACTGGAACAAAAAATGGCCACAAACAGACGCACATAATTGTGGCCGGATGGGAAGAAGGAATTTATAGGCAGGAAGCGTCCTAAGCGAGACGAATTAAGCAAAAGTGATATCGTTGTAAGTCCAAGAGACAGAAAGCCACCAGAAATGACGTGCAGGGAGGACCACGCTCGGAAAGGTCATCTGCTTTTCCAGAAACGCCTAGAACGGCGCACACCTGGCCTTCAAGCATGTTTCGCAATTTAAGAAACCAGAAATGCCCAGCTTATTTTTGAGCCACTACGCTTTCGAACAGCCCTAGCTTAATATGCTCGTTTCGAGCTGTACACCGGGCACTTTAGAAGAAAATTCATAGTGTATGATTCCCCGTTATGTATGATGCATCGGAGCATGAAGTAACTCAGCGAAAGCCCTTGTGGCCTTTTGCCAGAAACAGAGCCAACTAAGAAGAGCCTTGAACGCGCAACTTCAGCATGCAAAGTGGAAGGCACTTTGCCCACGAACCATATTATGGCAGAAGGACTTCAGGCCGCTGCATACTGGTGTATTAACAAAGCTTTATACTTTTGTATATGCTGCACGCTGTGCGCGCTGAGTTTATTTTGGCGGCTTTTTTAAAACGAATACCTGCATAAGGGGGTTCTTACAGAGCCTTTGGGTCCCACACAACGGACTGGCATGGTCCTCGATATTGATAGAAGCCCGAGGTTAAGTGTGCAAGACTCCACAGTCTGTTTAAGTCCAGTGGATCGATAGCATAAAACTTCACATGTAGCTTTAAGGAAAATGAACCCTTGGAAGCGTTGTGAGCAACATTAAGAAGATTCCATACGCGCTTGCTGTCAAAAGCTAGCTGGACTTGGGAGCGCTGTTTGCAGGCAGTTAATGTTGTTCCGAACTTTCCATAGCCATTGAGGGTAGTCTGTAATTCCTACTGCATGTACACGAAAATGATATTTACATCCACATAGACAGTTCCGCACCCCGTGCCCGGGCTAACTGTCAAGGATAACTGATTGAAGAGGCTAAGGAAGCTAGTGTGCCCAACTCATTCAAAAGGGGCGGGGAGAAGGAAGAAATGGCTAATTACAAGAGTTGTAAGGCACTGCTTGAGCAAACATCTTGCTAATGGCAGCACGCTTGATTTCAACAGGCTGAAAAGAATGTTTCGACACCTAGCCTAGGCACAGTCCGGGGGCATGAACTACAGCGGGATGTTGCAAAAGTTGTGTGAAATATTCCTGCAGACGTGTCTTGTCAGATCACCGAGGACGAGCGTTCAGGAATGCATTAAAGGCGCAATAAACTATTCATGCTGAAGTTGCATTTAACGGAAAGGCGTTTCACGATGGAAAGCCTCAAGACAGCGCAAGCCGGTCTCTTTGACCCTCAGGGCTGCTCCCCTCTGACGGGGCACTGCTCCGCAACTACAGACTCTTACTCTCAAATCTAGACAGTCTCTAAAGCACCAAAGCCCACTCTTTTTCCAAGACACCCAAACTGGCGAATCGGAAGCAGCAGTGTTATTTGGTGGGTGCTGCCCTGTGCTGTAGAGGAGGTCCGTTCGGCACTCCTAAAAAATACCACAGCTACCCAGCGAAACGCCTGCATACAGGACCACCAAAGACGCTTAGAAATTAACAGTCAGCAGTGAAATTGGGCACTTGTCCTTAAGGATTCGCATATGCGCACATTTAAGCAGGGAGCTTAGGCACATTGGCCCACCGACCTAACGGGAACATGACAGGGGAGGGGAGCGAAAAGTGTGTGATGGTCAATAAAAGTGCTCCTGAGGTAACCAAAGACCGCTAGCTGCACAGCTAGTTCTAGGCAAAAGTCATGTATGAAATCGTGAAGGCACAAGCTCCTTAGCGACCATTTTAGCGAAACGCTTGGCGCTGCGCCGTCGATGTTCAAGACTCCCTTTGCAATTCGTCAGTAGTGTGGGCCATTAATACACAACGACGCTGGGTAAGAATTGCATAACGGAGCAATAGTGCATTTCCAAACGATCGATGGAGTTCTTCCACCCTCTCTTTTGTCACGGCTACCCGAGCAGTTCGACCCAAGAATCAACATCAAATTTCGCAAGTTTGGGGGGCGAAACATGCATTAAGCCGGACTTATTTTACGTTCATATCCGGCTACACATACGGCTTCAATGCTCAATTTAAACACTAGGAACGGCTCAGCTACCAAACGCACGACCAAACTGAAAGAAGGCATTTTAGCATTGAAAAGTAATGATGATGAAGGGTGTTTTGCTCACACAGTACTTACAATGGTCGAAGTGTACAAGTATTAAGCATTATTTCACTTTAGTTGTCGTGTGCTTGCTAAGTCACACAAGAACGGTGGAGTGGTGTCGTTACAGCCGAATCTCCGGTCGACACGGTACACACCGCCGGGTTCCATCGAAGTAGAAGGAGTAGTGTAGTTTACCGCTTTGAAGTGAAGTAAGTATACTGCGATAAATGTTTTAAAAGTACGTACTTTATCTTGCTGGCTGGCTCATCAATGCGTCTGTTTGACATTTCAAGGGTCAACAGACACCCCGCATGGAGGCCGCCGGTGTGATTGGCCCAGATCCGATGGAAACGGCGGAAATTCCGATAAAATTGCTTCTTTCCTGTACGTTTTGCATGAAATCGCAACAAAAGAAGGGAAATCAACGCTCAGAAGAAGTCTTTGGAGTAGCTTGAGTCTTTTCTGACCTTCTACAGTTCCCGCTACACGGCTACCGCCAACGCCCGACAGCAACAACATCACAAGGCTAACAAGAGAGCCCTCGTCAATTTTGCTCTTCTTTGCGCTTCGTATTAGTTGGCAGATGCGAGAAAATGGGCACGGAGGTCGCCACTGGTCTCTTTCCCCTGCTTGTGGAATGGCTTGTTCCTGCCCTTGTGCTTTTTGGTTTAGAGCTTGTGAGCTTGCACAGCCGCAGTGCCTCTCTACGCCCTTAGTGCCTGACTTTTACACCTTGCCTTGGGGTGTAGCGTCAGGTACTGAAATGTCTGGCCCACATTTTTCTTCGCTGGCTCGTCCATCATTCGCTGAATTACATCGGGGTACTGTGCCTTCTACACGTGTGTCTCAGGTAATCTACGCGTTATACCGTAGATTTTCGCTTTCCGCGTGCACAGAGCGCGGTCGGCTAGCGGCAGCTGCCACTCCTCCTGAGCAGCCCGCTGCGTCCCCTGGCGTCTGCTCGCTTCCGCCACGGCTGCACAACCCCTCGCCTTTGATGGAGAGCTGGGAAAAGAATGTAAACTTTCGCTACAGATCGGACTGCAGCACTGCAGAGCTGACGAGCGATGCAGAACAGTCTTCACAGAGGGAAAACAGTCGCGCGGCAGACACGTGTACTGCTCCCTCTTGCAGCGTGCAGTTTGACGAATTTGGCGACGCCGCGAAACTTAGGCGGAAAGTCCTTTTAGAAGAGGGCACACAGAGTCTCCACGCTACGCTCTCCCATTGCCACAATGTTTCAAATGAAATCGGATCCCCCAAACAAGCTGCTTACTCGAGAAGTGCTATGATGTTGGCATATTGCGACATGGTCAGAGAACCCGCTCAGATGCTGCGGTTGCTGCGTGTGTCTTGCTTATGCGTATGCTGGCGATATCGCCTAAATGCATGCAGATGCACTCAGCGGCAGAGCCACTGTCACAAAGCCTGCCGCGGATACTTCCACGGGCAAAGGCTGTATGCGTAGGGAGTTGAGTGTGTGCAGTCTCTTCTGTGTGCTGCCTCTGCAGAGGCAGAGAAGCCTTCTCAAGCGACCCGATAGATTCCCAGAGTTTGTCAGATACATAGCGACTCCGCAAGAGATCGACAAGTACCACAAATCGGCAGAAGCTGCCGCAGCCTATGGGGGTGCTTGCAGCTCCTCAAGAGACTCAGTCTCTTCTTTTGAGCAGGGGCAGCCGCGGCAGACCAGTAGAGACGGCATCTCCCAAAGAAGAAATATCGTAGGCAGTCTGAATTCCTGTCAGAGCGGCGCTTGCTCCCAAAGTGGCGAGGCAGCTGACGGCGCGAGTCAGGAGCAGCAGCTGCAGCATCCACACCACATCCAGCACGAGCATCAGCATTACATTGCAAACATTGAGGCGGTACCAGTCCTGCAAAGGTGATTATTCCGCGTGTTGTTTGTTGTGCTCTATGCGATCCACACCAGCAAGTGCCCTCACCGTTCCAAAGCCTGCAGTAGGAGTATTGTTTTTTCCCTTGTCGCAGTTGTTAGCCTCTGCCTGCACTCCAGACGACCTCCAGCCAGCCTTCTGGAGAGGGGGGAGAGCGCTTTCTTCCTACGAAATCATGCATAGATCTCTCTAAGGCGGTAGCAGACACGTATACATTAGAGCTTAGGCTTTCGTGTGTGTGTGCTTTCTTGGTGTGCTGTGCAGAGCGCAGAAGCTCCGCCAGATAGACATTGCGATAACGGTGTATGATTCGTTCAAACGGCGAGCTATTGCCATGCGCCCTAACGTCTGTTTGCTCCTTGTCCACTGTGCACTCGCGTGAGTCTCTATCTCTGGCAATAAGTCGCTCTAGTTGCAGACGGGTGCTTCTGTAGCCGTGTGGAGGCAACTGATCTTGTCGCGCTTCGCCAGCGGCTGTTCTAGGCTTGCATGCAGTGAGAGCTGCTGCCTGTCTGTGTAGAGATCTTGCGGCTGCTGGCTCAGGGCGGGAGACTTTGTGCGCGCTGTCGGCTGGCTGTTGGAGTTCCTTGACGAGTGCGTTCCCATACAAGGGGACTGGCTGGATCGAGTAATTGCAGCAACTGCCGTAGGGGCCTCTCACTTGCTGCAGGAGCTGCTGCATCAGTTGGAGCGACTCCGGCAGAGCGACAAGCTGTCTCCGGAGTGCTGTGAGGTTCTCAAGGGGGCAACTGGATATCTTGCGCTTACAGCGGTGACTGCTGCTGGCGAGTCTTCAGCTGCAGCAGGAGCAGCAGGGAGTACTGGCCTGAGGCAGCGGCAGCTCTCCCCGCAGCTCCAGATGCCACACCAGCCGCAGACTCTGCGACGGAAGTCTGTGCAAAGTTCGAAGGCGCAGCTCGTTCTGCCGCCTCCTCCTGCCCCAAGTGCGCCAGTTGCTCCAGCCGCGAAGACAGAAGCCGCCGAATGCGAGAGCTTGGCAGCAGCAACAAATGAAGCGGCGACAACAGCCGACGCTCCAGCATCAGCTTCTCTAGCAGCGGAACTGAGGAGCGGCCCTCCAGAGGAAGCAGGGGGGGCAGGAGAAGCCTCCAGCGAAGCAGCAGCAGCAGCCGCTGCATGCGCAGAGACAGAGAACCTCGAGACGACACAAAATGCGGAGGTCGAAACAGACTCGACCGCAGAAACAAAGCTGGCAGCCAGGGTAGCCTCAGCAGGCGATGAGGCAGCTGCAGTTGCTGAAGCTGCAACAGCGGCAGACAGTCCTAGCAAGCGGCTCAATCCCTATGCTCCAGAGTTTGTCCCTGTGTATTTCTCCCTATTAGACAAGCAGCAGAAGGCGGAGAACCCTCCGTGTCAACCGCTGCAGCAGCAGCAGCAGCAGCAGCAGCGGCAGCAGCGTGTTCGAGCAGCTGAGCCGCTGCTGCCGTGGGTGTCTTCTTCTTCGGAAGCATCAGATGCCTTTTCAGCCCCCCCCCGTTCCAGATCCTTGGAGCACTACGAGGAAGCCATGGCATCCAAGATGTCTCAAGGCACTCGCGAGGGAGCTCCTTGCAGCAAGGGAGAGCGCCCCCAAGACAAGCAGCACACGCTGCAGCTTCAGCAGGAGCTGATGCGGCTCTTGCACCAAGGCGACAGAAAGCAGGTTCCATCTGCTGCTCCCGTCGCGCTTCCGACGCAGCCGCAGCGGAGCTACCCCCCCCCGCACCCCCTGCCGCCCCCCCTGAATGCGTCGAGGCTGCGCAAAGACACTGCGACTCAGTGGAAGCCGAGACATCCTCAGCTCCAGCAACAAGAAAGCTCGCTAGACGTTCCCAGCAGAGTGCGAATTGCGCAAGCAATCATCACGAGCCTCTCAGGCAGCAGTGGACCGACAAGTCCTGCTTCTCCGGAAGCGGCGCGATTGCAGCAAGTGGAGTCAAGTGATCAGCGACAGCAGCTCCAGTGGCAGCAGCAAAAGCAGCTGAACCAGCTAGAAAGCTGGTAGCTACTCGCAATCCAGTTTTGCGCTGTTTTGCGAGCAAGATAGCGCTACACAAGGACTTGCCTTGGCAGGGCACATGTGTGTGTGTGTGCACCAGGCAGCAGTAGAAGCGTATTGCAAGAGAAAGGCAGAAAAACACGCAACAACAGCCATGTAGAAGGGATATTCACCATGAGTTTTAAAGCTCCCACTACTCAGTATGAATCATTTGCTCTAGAGTCTTTGCAACCCCAGTAGAAACACCATCCGCAGAAGGGGCGGGGGCATTGGGGGTCCTCTGAGGAGGCCAAGGCTAGGGAGGGGGTGGCACTCTTTGTCTAGACACCAGATATCGTCCGTGCATCTGCTGCAGGGTTGCGGCTTAAGGCTAATTTACGACCAGTTCTAATGTGATACCACAGCTAGTCCTCTTTTGGGCTTGCATCCCTGTACATGTCGCTGGAACCCCGTCACTTGTTTTGCTTGGCCTTAGGCCGTGTAATGCAGATTTGAAGGAAACACCCCAGACGCAAAGTCACAGCTGGAGACGCTATGTCTTTGGGGATACAGTTAGTGCGCGGGCGACAGTCGCAGCGCTCAGTTGGGGGTACTACCTTGCCAGCGTCGCGATTTGTTTTGCTGCACTTCTTGGTGGCAAGCACCAGCAGCGGCGGCGTGTGTGCGTACGACACTCGCAGCTCCTGTGCCGCAGCGGCAAGCTAGAATAGGCCGTCCGAGGTGCCTTAGCCGACTGTGCTGCTGCCAGGGGGACGGCATTGCACGTCGGGCAGTAGGGGCTGCTGCTTTTGCTGGAGCGGCGCAGCGCCAGATAGCGTCAAGAGCTGCTGCAGAACAGCTGCAGACACCTGCTGGTCCAGGAGCTGCTGCATCAAGCAAGACCGCCTTTGCAACTCCGAAAAATACGTACAGTAGGCAGAGAGGAGCAGCTGAGCAACACAGGCAAGGCTTTTACACGCCTGGATGGGGGCTATCATAGTCACGGCACGACAAGGTTGTAGTTCTGAAGCTAAGGCGTGGCACTTACCTCCCACACCCTTTGCCGGGACGGTGGGAGCGGGTTTGGAAGGGCGCTCCAGTGTCTCCGGATTTCTCGCTTAAGCCTTTCAGAAGCCTCATGCCGTGAATCCCCTTTCCCCTGAACATTCCAAATCGCGAACCTTGAACGCTCCGTAAAAAGCCAGAAAAAAGGCTCTAAGGAGCCGTGCGCCAGTCTCTGCCCTTCTATATTGCCCCTATTGGCGCTGAGTGGGCTTTTCATTTTGGGGTTTCTATGTGCACCTTTCTTCTGTCTCTGCGCCGCTGTGCCAGGTCGAATTCTGTAGCTGCTTTCGCATCTTGAAAGGCTTCTAGAACCGTCAAAACGTCATCGGCTTCGGTATACAGCGCATCATCGTCCAGATCTTGGCCTGGTCGGCACAGTGCGTCGCGTACACCACAAGCAGCACCCACGACCTCACCACACCGCCCTGAGATGTGTGCCCGTCGATTAGACACCTGGAAAGTTTTCTTTCGCAGCCCTTTATCACGTGCATGTGCCAAAATTTCAGTGCACGAACTAGGGTATACAGTATAAGAGCTATATTTCCTGGGGCAGTGGGCTCTAACCCTTGTAAAACAGGTCAATGAGGATAAAAAGATCGTCTTTGCTTTCGACGCCAATAAGTTCGAGGAGCTGCATTATTTGTAAAAATGCACGCTGCTCCTCAGTCAGATGCTCGGGGGGTTCCCGATGCTGCGCATACGAGGATGCCCATCATCACACTAGGGCTTGGCGCTTCGCATACAGGAGTTAAAGCGGATAGAATAAACGCTTCTAACTTCACGCTGTGAGTTCGAGCTCTTGCAGACAAGGTCGAACCCCAAATCACTTACACATGCATCCAGAAGAAAAAAGCGGATAGAATAACACGCTTCTAGCTTCACGCTGTGAGTTCGAGCTCTTGCAGACAAGGTCGAACCCCAAATCACTTACACATGCATCCAGAAGAAATCCACAGGTCTGTTTCATGAGGAGCAGTGCTTTGTAAATCTTCGAGGCAGGAAAAGGGGACCCGTCGTTGGGGTTGCTGCTACTTCCCTTCCTTTCCTGCAGTTGAGAGCTTTCCGTTTTTCTGCTGCAGGTCCTGATGTAGCTGCTGGAGCTTCCACGCCCTCTCGAGGTGGTGTCCTCGCAGCACTCCACATCAAAATAGTCAATGCCAGGCAAAACTTCCCGCCTCTCAGTCTCTTCCTGCGGCTCTCTGTAGTCGATGCCCAAGTAGTGATCGTGAATGAATCGGTCGGCGTTAAGCACGTCACGCACCAGCTCAGACACCTGCACCAGCAAGCATTGTTCTTGGCGCAAAAGAGCAGAGACTAGGTTTCTGAGCTCAGGATGTCAATAAGTGGGCCTTGTGAGATAAAAAAATGAATTACGGCCTTAAATTGGGAGTCAAGGCTTCGCGAGTTGAAAAAGCTTGAGGCATAGGGACAGCTCATAGGGTTTTCGCCACTTCTTGTTCATGATGCTTCCACAGTTGCTTGAAAAGGGTCTGGTCCACTTTTTTCTTCTGCGTAGCTGCCTTTCCGAGCTCTTCGTATTGCTGCCACAACCGCCTACACTCAGTCGTTGCTTGCACGTTTTCCAGCCTGCTCACAAACGCTGACGTCTGAATCCGCATCAGCCGTAGTGTCTGCGTGCTTTCTCCCAGGGTGTGCCCTGCCACTGAGCCCCCTGTACAAATCGAAAGTCATGCATCTGCCGCTAACACCCTAGCAGAACTAAACCCGAGGCTCTGCGTTTGAACACCGATTCACGGTTGTGCTTGCATGAAGGCAATATGGTTGGAAATTTCAAGAGTACGGAACATGTTTCTTACGAGCTTCTGTACCCTTGGTAACTTTTCTGGTGGGTGTGTCTATCGCTGCAGGGGCTTGGGGCTTAAGAGTTATTCTCTAGGAATGCAGGATGTAAAGTAGGGTTTACAGATATTTCTTCCTGACTTCTCTAAATCTTGCTGCAATCTTGGTAAGAGCCTCTCTGCAGTGGTTTAGTTTCGTACGATGTTGCGCGAGCGCTGCTGCATTTGCTGCGTTTCGCTCAGTCAGGAGCTGAACGTTGTAGTTCAGTTTTTCCTGGTTGAGGTGGTAGGCCGCAAGCAGAGACTCTAGGTGTACTTCCAGCTCCTGAACCGTCAACCATATGACCATACCGGAGAGAGGAAAAAGGTAGCGCTGGAAACGCTGCAGAGGCATCAAAATTTTTAGGAATAGGCTACAGGAGAAGAGCTAGGGGATTCGGGGGCGATGGCTTAGGTTTAAGGCTTAGTTTTGCCACCTCAATATGCTGGGTTCGTTGCGCCTTTATATCTGAGGCTGACTGCTGGCTTATTGTCCTTTGTTGCTCCATCTGTTGTTTCCAGTGTAGTCGTCGCCGTTCCTTCTCTTCGACTAACTCGCGCTCTTCCTGATATAAGCGTGAAGGGTTCGTGAGAGCGCAGCACAACTCGGCAACTTGGGTCCAAGGTATAAGATGTACGCTCTTAGTCATAAGGGCTTGGGATTTATGATTACCATGTTTTTCCTCTTTTCGAAAAGCTCGTCAATTTCGTTCTTGAATGCAGCCTGAAACACACACCTGCTGTACTTTCTTGAAGTATCAAGATATGCATATGACCATTATATTCAAGGCTTGGGAACAAGGCATCTAGGCGCAAAATTCAGTGAAATGTTCTGAGAGTTTGTGAGTTACAGGTAGGAGGCCCTCACCAAGACTGCTTTTCGTTTTGAGAGCATTACTTGTTCAAGCCGCAACAGCTCGGCTGCATGGACACGTAGGAACAGTGCAACAGCTACTTCTGTTGCTGTATGGGCAGAACGTCTGGCGCAATCGTTTATTCGATCATTTTTTAAGCATTAAATTGATGCTGTAGGCTCGATTTTATTGCGTCTCGGTGGTCGTTCAGGCACTAGCGCCTCAGTATCAGGGCTCAGGGATTTTTACCATCTGCTTGTTGTTTCAGTGAAGCATACTCTGCGTTCATGATAGCCACAGTCGCTTTAAGCTCTTCTTTCTGATCGGCAATGCCTGAATAGGAAACCCTAAGAGCCTTGTTCCCCAAGCACACAATGAAATTTAGGCTTCGGCGCTAGAGGCATAAGGTGCAGTCCCTGTGGCGCAGTAACAGGTGGCGTGGGTTGTGATTTGGAGAGTCGGGCTCACAATCGACAAAATGCTGTTCCTTCCTTTTTGCGTCTTCAGCAAAAAGAGCCTCCTCATCTTTTTTCAAGTTCTTAAACTCGTTCAGAAGCAGTTCCTCCAAACCCACAGACTTCATTAAGGTGTCAAGCTGTTGCAGCTTTTGCTGCAGCTTCGGTGGCGGCTGGCTCTCTCTACCATCAGCAGCGGCAGATGGGGGAGGGCATGGAGATTCGTGACACATAGGGGCGACTGCTTCTGTTAGGAGAGTTGGTAGAGTCTCGAGACGCTTGTTCTACATAGAAAACCCGGATGCCAGAATCCTGAATTTTAAATAGTCTGCCAGGCTTCTTACCGCGTTGCGAACTCCTTGGCTACATAGGGAATTGTGTGGCGACAGCAAATGCTAAATCTTGAACATTACCTGCAAGGTTCTTTGATGTTCAATGCTTGCCTTGACACTTGCTTCGGCTTCGTCTCGCTCTGTTCAAAACATAAAAGGCGGAAGGATGCGCTGTTACGCCCAAGGCGTAAGCTTCGAGATTCGTGTCATATTTAGAAATCTCTGTAGAGCACCACTATTACCGCTCACATGATCCAGAGTTAGTCATTAACCGGATTACGCTTGTTTGCTCCTGTAGCCGTTTAAGGCGTGTACATAAGGTCTTTGGCAACCATTTTGCCGCCTTAGAACTAGAAATTTACGATAGGAACGGTGCCCCTTTCGACATGGAATTTAAGAATTACGCTTGAAAACTACATGCTTGACTCGTTTCACTGCTCAATGTTTACATTTCGTGAGTTAGGGCTTGTGGCTTAGGAACTGCGGTTTAGGGTTTTCGCCTGATACCTTGAGTTTTGATCGTGTCTTCCTTCTCCGTTTTCATCCGTTTTTCGTTTCCCGTCGCTTTAATGTTCTCTTTTTCTTTCAGGAATTCACTTTTCAGCTTTTTTATTGCCTGCCAAGAAATGTCTATTTCTGCTTCTATATCTTTTTCAGCTTGGTCCGCCATGTTCTCTGCTCGAACTTCTTCAGGATTGGGCTCTGTCTTTTTCGATCCTCTAGTGCCTGTTTTTGTGCAGCTCACCCAAAATGTGAAGCATTTTCCTAAAGCAGCGCGTCCCCTTGCAAGAAAACTTTGCGAAGCACTTCGCAATTGAACATCAACGCCATGATTTAAGAATTTCAGCTTGCACCGCAAAATCGAGATATTTCAATCCACTTGGTGTTTGTAGTTCCATCTACGTTAACACGGTGAGACTACAGCCATGAACCAAAATCCCTGTAAGACATTAAGCTCTATGAGATCATATTAGCCCTCGAAGCCGTACAGTGCCTCCCTGATCCTTCATTGATGGTGCCATTGGTTTTGCTCTGAAGTCTGTATTACACTAACTAACGTACAGAATGCACAATGGTGTTGAGTGCGAGAACGTACATGCACTATGTGCCTCTTGGATTTTTTGCTCCGCCCTGCGCCTTCTTTCTAAGATCCTTTGCATTCGCTCCTTATTGCTAAAGTTTGATGCTCCACTATAGTGGTGCGATTTCGTTTCACCTTCTTTTGGGGTTTCACCTGAGTTTTTTGTTCCCCCCTCCAGGCCTGCTGCTGTTTCTGCTGTTTCCGTTACTCCATCTGAAGTAACTGGTGCATCTTTCAGCGTAGCCGCAGGCCCAGGGCTCTCTGTTGCTTCAGTTAGAGCCATTTTCTTTGCACAGGAGGCCCAGGCAAGCTGTCTTCTGTGAGCAATGAACTGCAAACTGGGGAAGTGTAGGCTCAGCTACTATTTCATATCCTTGCAAATCAAGGATACATTTTGATAGGTCCAAGAGTGATGTCTGTTAGTGAGACCTTAAGTCTCGCTACTTCGGCTTCAAACAAGCTGCGTTGCAAACTACCGAGGCGAGGAGGCTCTTGAGGATTACGAAGGAAGATCGGGGAAGCTCGTCTACGTCTTTCCTTCCAGCTTCCTCTCTCTAGTTTCGTCAACAGAAAACCAGAGAGAATCTGTGCGTTTCGGCTGCGTGTACTTTCTGCTCATTCCCTCTTTGGGGCTTTGCTCTCACGCACCGAAGCTGCCGTTTTTAAACGGGCAAAATGGTCTACTGAAGCAATGATACACACGAGGAAACTTCAGCATTTTGGAGTGAAAGAGGTTCTGGCAAAGAAGTATTCAGCGAAAAGGGGTTTCCGGAGCCTTTGGATAGCAGCGCTCACCTGTTACAAATGCGGCACGGTGGGAGGAGCATGGGGCTTTATCGCTTAGAAAGTGGCACTATGAACTCTTAGCCGGAAAATGCAAAGCGATGAGTTTATCGACTAGTGTACGCTAGTGTACATACGTAGAAGAGCGATGAAAGTTTCGTTGACAGAATGCACTCCATGGGGCAGACAAGGAGGTGACTGAGAATCGAAGCCCCTGTTTCACACAAAGTGGGAGCGCTTGATAATGGGAAGGGCATGTGAAGCGCAAAGCTATGACAATATGGGCCGTAATGCAACCGAATTTCGGAGCACACATCGACTTTGTGGTTTCCCGAGAGAGGCGGCACTGCCAGACAAAGGGCCAAAGATCCTCCAGCTGTCGGCCGGGCTCCAGTAGGTCGCTATTCAGGATGTGGTTAGGGGATGCTGATCCATGAGCTACTTTCCTTCATAACCTGCTCTATTAAGTTGCATTCTAAGGGGCGTATTCTGTTGTATCATTCCATCGCCGAGAGTGGGGTTGGGAGTGTGAGAGTGAACTCATCTTCCCTTCTGTTGCATTCTGTGGACCCGCTTTCCCGCACTGCTCAGCCAATGCCATCATCTGAGCGATCCTTGCTTCCTACTGCTTTCTGTCATACATCCTGACGCTGGGACTTCCTTTCATAGTTTTTCTTTTCCAGTTTCTCCCCCGCACTTCGCCTTCCAATGCTCTCCAGTCCTTTCAGGACTGAGAACCCAGGAACCTCGCACTGCCTGCTCACCCACTCGATTCGCCCTTCCTTAGATGTCTACCTTTGGGACGTTCTTGCGTATTTCCACCTTTGGAGAGTCTCACGGCTCCGCTGTGGGTTGCTCCATTGACGGACTCCCGGCTGGCTTGAGGGTCTGTATGCAGTGCGTGCAGCAGCAACTGCAGCGGCGGCGACCTGGCGCCGCAGCGGGGTACTGTTCCAGCAGCAGAGAAGAGGCGGATGTTTCTGAAATACTGAGCGGCGTTGAGTTTGGGCTGACTCTAGGGTCCCCTGTGGCTCTGCTTATAAGGAACAAAGACACCAGACGACAGGATTACAGCAACATCGGCATCAGCAGCTCGCAGGGTTCAGGTGTGCTTAACTCCCTCAGTGGAGTTCCCCGACCAGGGCATGCAGACCTCACTTATCTGCTCAAATATCAAGCGGCCAGCAGCAGTGGGGGCGGCCGCAGCAGCGCAAGAGAAACAGCAGCTCGGGTTGCTGCAGGAGCATTGGTCGAGTCTTGCTTCTTAAGACCCTTCTCCCTTTGTCGCATCGTGGCTTTCGTCTCTTCTGTAGGAGAACATGCTCTTCCCCACGAAGAAATGCAGAAATATAGGCAAACGCCCCCCACCAGAAGAACTATAGACACCAACGGCAGGGTACGGTTTCACTTCAAAACAAACAAGCTGCACGACGCACACGGAAACTGCTATCCAGGTGTCTCAGCCGAGGCGCTACAACGTCTTTTGAGCATCAAACAGCAAGGCGTCTCTCCCAGAGATTCCTGCGAGACGAGCAATACACCCGCAAGTGCCAGTGTGGACTCTTCTGTGATAACCTCGGAAGCCAACGGCTCCCTTGAAGAAGACACAAGAGCTTCCTGCGAAGGGCCACCCTCGAGACTCCTCGCTGAGGGTGCCAGGAAAAAATGTGAACTCAACGGCTCCGGAGAGGTGTGGGATGTGCATACCCGCTGTCCTCATTTGGAAACGGCTGCCAAGATGGCAAGGCTACTACTGGAGGTCAGCTAAGCTCTTCATCTGGCTCATGGTTTTACCTTAGCAGGTTCGCTTCTGTCAGTTTCTTCATTGTTTCTTATCTCACTTTTCCGTTTGCTAAACGCGTGCGCATGTGCGCGCGTGCCTGCTCTAGCTGTTGCCCCTGTTCGTCATTTGTCGAGTGTTTGATATACTCCGCACTTGTGATGAATATACTTGTTTGGTGGCGAGTAAAATCCATGAGAGGCCGGTACAGAACTTTTCTTGGTGTAATACACAGCAACAAACATGTTGCTCCCTAGTATTCGCCTTTGTGCATGTGTTTCCCCTCAAGTTGCTGGCGCCTAAGCTTCTATTGCATCGACCTCATGTACCTTTTTTGTTCCGAGCGTTTTAGGTTAAATCAGAAGAAGATTCCATTGGAGGGTCTGTATGCTGTGTAATTGAAAGCCCTCCAGCGGGTTTAGGTGAGCGAGGATGCAGAATGCAGAGCTTTAGGAAGGCGACCTAGGGCATAAGCTTTAAAGATGCAGATTTAACGGCTCAACCCCAGGGTTTAGGTTTTGCGCGCAGGCGAACCGGTGTTTGACAAACTGCCAGCTATTTTAGCTCACGCAATGCTGTCTATTCCTGCAGTGAAGTCATTTGAGGTGATCCTGTACCCTAGACCACAAACCTTGGTATCTACTCGATAATTCTAGTGGTGAAGCGCTTGGATTCATTCACGTTTGTATGCCAGTGTTAGCAAAGTACGCATGGATTTGAACCTGCAAATGCGCATATTTCCTAACAAAAACAACCCAACAAAATACATTACAGAATTTTAAACGGTCTGCATGAAATTTATTCGTGCGTCAATTTGGTTTCTGCATCGTAGTTTTTCACGATGCATATACTCATTGGTGGTTCAGTTGAGACGCGCGCTTGTGTGCTTCTGCAGATCGGCAGTGGTTTCGAATGTACCAAGATGAGAGGCAGCGAGCACAATGACAGACTGCAACCAAAATCCAAGGATATAAGGGAAAGGGATAGAGGAGAATACAACTGGCCTAGGTCTGTTCCAGCGAGGAGGTGCTGCTGTTACGAAGATCGAGGAGAAAGCGACAGCGAATTAGACTGTACACAGATGACCATCACACCACAGAAGGGCATGCATGCAGAAGAAATGGAGCTAAAAAAAACGATAGAAGACGATCGAGTAGGCAGTATCGGAGTCACAGGGGACACCTTGCCAGAGGATGAGACAGATATTTATTTGAAGAATCTACGGGCTTGCGCGGCGGCTGCAAAAAACCTTGAATATCAAACAAACAACTCGGGGGGCACCTTCGGAGGAATCAGCACAGGTAGCTCACTTCTGCAAATCTGGCATGAGCAACACATACATATAATGCTGGTTTACACACATCACGGGATTCTGTAACGTTCGCAGCATTCAATACGTTGACACCGTGTAGCGGGTAAACACTTTATGGCGTAAAATTGCATCTTAAGACGTTCAAGTAGATCCCATTGAATTATGTTTCCCGTACAAAAATTGGCTTTTAGGTGAAAACATCTACTTTCGCGTTGGTTTTAAAGCACCCTCCTCCATTGGTATGGCCCAAATCACCGCGGACTTCAACGGCTCGATGCGGCAGCTAAAAATAAAAGGTAACTATTTGAGACTTGGTCTCTCGTGGGATAGGCACTTCAAGCATGTTAGGACATCCTCGTACCTCTGCTGATATGTGTTTCTGTCCCTGGCGATATATGATAATCCATATGTGAATAGGTGTTTCCCCGGGTATGAGCATCCTTATATGTGTTCGCAACTGCGCAACTTTTTGTGTTTGTGTGCTTCTATTTTGTATTATTCGCTGCATTTATTTAAACACCTGCATTTGTTTGCATATGTCCTTATGTTTGTTCTTTCGTAGATGCGTGTCTTAGATACATGGATGCACACACAGAGATACATGAATTTTTCCCTTGACAAACTACGATCGTATCGAGAACTAAGCACATCTTTAAAATGCACGCAGAGATGCAGATATGGTTGCGGGCATATGTGTCGAATTAAACTCTAGCAGATGCAGTTCCAAAATATCCACTGCTGACGTGTTGCCCCCGTGCGCAATGCTTTGAAGATTGTATAGGGTCTCTCCTTGAAAGCCTCGTCTACTAGTGGGTAAGGCGTGATGGCAGGCGATTCAGCACAAGTTGAGCGTTTCTGTGTGCCTGCTTCGTGTTCAGGAAGACATGATCCATGCGTTGTCGTGCGAGCGGTGCCGGTAGTGGAATCGATGGCCGTGCTGGTAAGACAATAAAGAACTACCTTTCATAGAGCAGAAATGTGAAACGATAGAAGTTATTAGTGGTCAGTTGGCAAGAAATACCCACATGTTCAGAAGGAAGTTCGCGAGACTGAATGGAGAAGCTAAACAGAGTCCCACCTACTTGAATAGACCTGTGGCAAGGACACTAGTGCCACATGTGAAGAAGTGCAAGAGAGAATAGCGGTGCATGAGGAATAAGCTAATATGATAAATGGATAATACCTAACAAACTTCCTTGCGTTGATTGTTACAAAACCATATTTTACTAACTAGCTTCCCTTTTGAATTTTAACTTTTTGGTTTTTGTGTGCTGAATCAGGCAATGAGCGACCTCATGCTGCAGCAAGCAGCCAGAGTCGGTGTGGCTGCTTTCATGCAATATCCAGACAAATTAAGTAAAAGACAGCAAGTCTAGAGCTTCGGCTCTGGCACTCAACGTGGGAACACATCTCCCGGGGCTACCCGTACTGACACACATGAGCACAGCCACATACACAAATTTCAACGTGCATACTCCAGGCATTAGGATGCACACCTTAATTACCAACGCATAGAAAATATATAGATTATGCATACTTGTGACTGTCGATGTCATACATATGCACCTCTGCATATATATGAACTTGCAGAATGCAGCTGAATATTCATGTACATGTGCACATACAAGTGATTACGCATGGTTGTGCATAGGTACATACATGCTGAATAAACCGAAGCGGCAGATGCATCCACACATATATACCCCGTATACTCATGTACTCCTAAATGCGCCCATGCATCTCGATGTAAACACGTTCTGCCAGCATCCTCTATAGTATGGAAGATGTACTACTATTCTTGCGCCCAGATCTATCGATGCAGATATCGATCCATGAAGAGGATCACCATATAGCTTTTCGTAAAGTGCATGACCCCAAGAAACACGAAAAGTGAACCTAAAATAACCAGAACAGTAGACCCTAAACGGGAGACCGGCATGCACACTGTTATAACACCGCCACCTTGACCAACGTGAAACCACACTCCTCCCAAAGTATTTCCTGCATTGACAGGGATGCAGCTTGACCCAATATAGTCACATCAGCCCTACGATACGCTTTAGCGGTTCTTCTCATCCGCTGCTTTCGTTGCCCTGAGGAAACAGACACATGCAAATCTGAAACCCTAGCCGTGAGACCCACACCACCCGAGTTTCGATTACTGAAACATAGAAATTTTTGTAAGACGAGTTAAATGCAGACACAGACCCCAAACCCTGAGTCCTATCCTCATGATTGCGCTTAGTGCTGCCCACCCAGGCCAATTCCATAACTGCTACTTCCTAAACATCTCTGAATACGATCGGACCGTCACATAAACCTTCATGCTGTATTTATCTCTTGAACGAGCGGGCCCCCAGGCAGACAACAAATGCCCTTAGTCATCGGACGCACTTAATAAAAGCATCTTCCATATGCCGTGAAACATCGAAATTTTCGTTCTTTTTCGCTTCTCTTGCTTTGGCAGCGGCTGCTGTCATTTGGCTCCCTAGCCACTGAAGAGCCTCCGCTCGTTTTACGCGGGTCTCAAGAGACACTGACTCATCGCGGCACACCTGCAGAAGGAGAAACACTTGCGTAAAGAGGCACACCGTGCAGTGTACACAAAACAGAAGACGGGGACACCGCACGAGAGCGAAGAAGCATCGACCAAAAGAGCCGCACAAAATGCAAACACACAAGCCTCAAAAACCGGAAATGGCACTCTGCGCCTAGGAAAAACTAAACATAGAACAGAAGAAACGAGAGACAGGATACGATAAATTCTAATTTGCAGTGAGAGGATGCCACTAAACCGGACATCATTCCTGAGCAACACAACTACGTGTTCCTCCTCGACGTCAGTAACAGCAATCACCGATCGTAAAAACAAAGCAGCAAAAACCCATACCTTTTCTGCGGCCTTCCGTGCAGTATCTTCGACATCACATGCAACTATGGAAAGAACGCTTTGGAGGATCTCTCCAACTCTGTCAATCTGGACACCAATATCGCAAAACAATTTCTTTCTTCTATGTCTCGCCCCTCTGTTTGCTGCATACTGCACGCGAAAGTATAGGGCAATGGTGCGTGTCTGGGTGACGGATCAGTTCGTGTTCCCGGATCCGCCAGCCATAGGTATAGCCTCCACAATGTACGTTCAGGGGCTCAGGATTGAAGTGTTAGGCCTCACGTCTTTAGTATCTAGCCGGTTTGGCAAACTCTCCGAAGCCTCTTTTGCCTCCTTCAGTTTCTGCTCATGGCGCGCTTGAATGTCTGTGGCCGCAACTGCAGCTTGCACCATCGATTTCGCCATCGCAAACGTATTGCCTGGCGCAGATCTCACAACGCAAAGGGTATCGATTTCCCAAGCTAAACGGACAGCGCGCATGCAGCAACAGCATGCGTAGGAACGAGGACGGAAAAAGAATGAGCGCCAGTCCGTAATGCCTAATTGACAAATCTCCCCAGAACAGGAGGGCGGCGTTTCACTCCATTCTTGTGACTTGCAGCCAACTCACCAATGCCACGACCCGTCGCTTGTATGTTGGCAACGGTTGCGCCTAATCCCCAGTATGTTTGGACTTCTCCCAAATACGCCGAGGAAAAATTCTCGTAAGCCCAGCCTAAGGACTCCACGATCGTCTCCCCAAAGGAAGCCTTTGAACACGCAGACAATACAAATTCACCTAATTTCATGCAATGCAGACCTGTCGAAATCCCAAGTAAACGCCAAGCCCAGAAATCCCTAGCCACCTACACCCTCCAGCCCAGTACTGTACCATGCAGAGCTGCTGCACTTCTTCTTTCATGGCTTCTCTCCATGCCTCTTGCGGCCCTTCAACAAACGGCTGGATCCTATCGCGCAGTTGGATGGCCAGGACGACTTCTCGCTTCCTCTGATCTTCTTCGATTGCATGCAAAACACCCTCGCGAGACTCCTTCGAGGGACCTGCGGGAGACTCCTGAACGCCATACGCCCGACAACCGAAGGCCTCTCCAGCGCGCATGTGCCGACAGCCGCTGCAGTCGCTACTTTCTCTCGACAACTTTTAAGCCCCCCAGAACTTCAACCCTAGGGAGCGGAGACACGGTGCCCGCTCGGAGAACCACGCCGCAAGACACGCAGCTTTCAAAGCGGCAAGTACCAGGTTTCGTGCGGGCACCTCTCTCGACTGCCCTTTCTCTTTTCGGAAGCCGCCACAGTCGAGGGCTTGAGGTTTGAAGGTGGGGCCAGACTGACTTACCCCCGACATGGCGGAAAGGACGTCGTCTTGCGTGAGCACCTCCAGCAGCTTTGCCATCTTGAGCTTGCCTGGATTGGAGCACAAACCCGCATGCTCTGCGCCTCAGACTCTTCACAAAGACAAGGCTCCAACCCCAAAGCCTCCAGCCAACGGGCGGGCAGCGGCGCGTTTCGACTTTTTTTCTTAGCCCTCAGGCTGGTAGTTCGCTGTGAAGCATTAGAGGGGAGTGGCGAAAGCTCTAAAGCGTCAGCTGCCTAACAAGAACGAGTCTCTCAGCCGCCTAACAGGGGTGACGGAGTGTACAAGGCTGGCATTCGGACGAAAGGCCTCGCAGCGGAGGGCTGTAGGGAGGCCAGCCAAGTATTTAAGAAGCCACTCGTGTAGAGGGGCAGAAGGGAGACACAGTCGCGTCTCAGATATCTAAGAATCAACAGCTTGTGGTGTGTCTGTGTGTGTGTGTGTGTGTGTGTGTGTGTGTCTGTGTCTGTGTGTGTCTGTGTGTGTGTGTCTGTGTGTGTCTGTGTGTGTGTGTGTGTTGGGTGCTCGGCACTCCGGATATTACCAATGTAAGGATCCAGCTGCTCAGATCCGAAGAGCATCATGAAGAAGAGAGCAGGATCGATGAAGCTCATATTTCTGGTCGCTGAAACTCCGTACTTGTCATACTCAGCCCTTCGCTTCGGATCGTTCAACACTTGGTACGCCTCCCCTGCACGCGAGCACATACAGCCACCAAGAAAGGTCAATCCCTAGAGGCTAACCCCCCTGCCAACAGGCTTACTTCCTCCCACCCACCTCCCTAGTGCCTCGCAAGTATGCCCTATCTCCGTGAGCTCAGAGGCAGCGATGCTTCCACGCTGAGTCCTACCTATAGCCTGAAACTTTTGGTGAGCTTCTGGATCTCCTGGATTCTTATCGGGGTGACACTTGAGGGCTAACTTGTAATACGCCTTCCTAATTTCTGAGGCGCTGGCATCTGCGCTCAGGTCTAGAGCATCATAGTACCGCATGTCGGCGACCTTTCGAGGCGTTCTGCTGGTGCTGCTGCTGCTGCCGTTGAAGCCGCTGTTGCTGCCCATCGTCGCAGAGCTGCAGCCAGGTAGGCGGGAGCTTGCTGAGTCATCGGGAGCTGTCTCTCTGGCTGTTCCTCCTCTTCTGCTCTCCGTCTCTGCCCATGCGTCTGCCTCCACGTCCTCCTCAGGGGGCTTCTTCTCACCGCTGCTCGTCTGCCGCTCATTCTCGATAGCCAGAGGCGCTTCAGACGCACTGTCTGCATTCGCCTGCAGCAGCTGTGCGGCTTCGGCTGGCAGACTGTACCCTGGAAAGCACGCACCACATGCAAAAAACATGCAACACAGCTGCCTCCTGGCAACAGACGGCGTGCAGGTCTGGCTGGAGGCCGTTCGCTGGAAGAAAGCAGGCAGGCAAGATCTAGGCAGGCGAGGGAAGCGTAAGGAAGGAGGGTCGGAGGGCAAAGGGAAAGAAATCCAGAGACACCAACACGACGCGGGCTTGGAACCAAAGGCGGATGAAGTAAATGCGAAGGATCTTGTCAGAGGCCATCATACCCGTAGTGTAATCATTCCACGAGGACGGATCTGACTGGCTAGGTGGTTTGAATAACCCATCAAAAAAAGTGGTGACTGGTGCTTGGGCAGAGGCTGGAACGCCCCCTCTTTCGCCCTTGCCCTCTTCACCCCCCTTGCTACTGTCCTTAAAGATGCTCCAGATGTCGAACATCTTGAAGGCTTTCCTACGCGCCAGCAACCCTTCAGAGACACGGCGAGATACGGTGAGCTCTGGGAACCTGCACCGCTGAAGATGCTTGGAGTGGCAGACAAAAGACGTCCAACGCGCGACAAGCCGGCCAGGAAAGCCTTAGCTACGGGCGAGTCGGAGCTCTGCACAAGGCGTGAAAAGCTGCTCTGCTGTAAATACACTCTAGCGGGCAGTCTACAGCACCCGATCGACAAGGTCTCTCCAAAGGTACACACGGAGAAGACGCGCACAGTCACACAGCCACACAGACGCTGCTCCTGAGAGGAACACCCTACGGCTCGAGGTTTACGGCCTGTCTACCAAACGCCGAGCGAAGCTGCATGCATGCATACACGTGCTTTGGGTGGTGGGAGTGCTGCTGTTGCCGCTTGCTGTCGCTCGTTCGTGCTTTGTGTCGGTCATGCTGCAGTCCTGGTTTGCGAATGTTTCCAACGCTGCTCAATGCGGCTGGTGTTGCTGCTTTAGTGGCGGTACCGCGTGAGGGGCAACACAAAGAATAATGGCGAAGGGAAGGACATCAAAGAAAACAGCGCGTTTTGCCACGAGGCTGCCAAATCCCCAGAGCACATGATGGGCGCTATCTCGTTCGACAAAAAAAATCAAGGACGCCCCTGGAAAGCCGAAATCCTAAGCCATGAACGCGCAAACAAAAGCTCGGCAAGGGAGTAGAGTACCCTGATGGAGAGCGGCTTCGGGGGAAGGCAAAGCGAGTGCAAAGGCCCAAGCGTGCTCACCGCTGCGCTCGGATGTTCCCTCAGCTCTCATAAATAGAGTCCGAAAAGACAATATAGGCTCAGATAATGCAATTGCAACTCGCCCTTCTAACCGGTTTCCAAGCCATGAACGCATTGCAGACCCAGGCGTTTGTTACGCCTTCATGGCCATGCCGTATCTCCTAGAGCTCCGAGAATGTCCCTCCAGCCTTCATGCGCTGATGACTGCTTTCACTTCGATTCGCCTGTTTCTATGCTAATAGCACTCCAAAGCTTGCATGCGCGTCACCTCTCTTCTATAAACTCCGTATTCCTCTTCTTCTGGCCCACGCACCACGCAACCAGCCATCCCTCACCAACCTCGGGGGAGACGTGATCGCAGAACAAAACCCTCTAAAGTCGACCCCTGGCCTGAGTCGTCGCTCCGCAGTATACTCTATTCGCAAAAGAATGCCTGCCTGAGGGGAACGGAAAAGGCCACGCGAAATCCACACCGCGAATTACCAGGGGGGCGCCTGCCACGCAGCGGTGCCCCTCGTTTGACCCCCGAGCGGCAAAACTCAAAACAATTCAGGCAGGACAGCAGTGTGGAACAGGGATTTGCGCACGACTGGACAACTGTGCTCGAGTAGCTGCTCGCTCTGACGGGCTATCAGGCTACATCCAGTCACTGTCTACTGGGCTCGTTACATTTAGCCATGAATTTGGTGATGAATTGACTAGCTAATTCGTCTGCTCGTAATCATCGCCTACTGCAGAGTAGCATGAGCTCAATACGAAAAGGCGCAGTGCTGTGTGCTCTTCCGCTAAAAGCTGTGTGGAACCGGCTGCGAACGCTAGGGGGGTTTACATAGTGGAGCCAAGCGCAGCTCAGATGTCGCTCTCCCATCATTTCGCGAAGTGTGAGAGGTGCGCGTAAAGGGACGGTGGAGCTTTTTTGATAAATGCTGAATGACTCTGAATCGGGTTTGGGTTCAGCATGGTGTTCAGTGTCCCTACAGAAGGCTACAGCAAACGACACTGGGTGTATAGTGGACTTGTTTTCCGAGGAAAAGGCGCAGAAGCACAGTTTGCCACTTGACTCAATAGTCCAGTCCCCGCGGATCAGGTATGCTGACGGGGGCAGGGTGCAAGGATTAGCAAGGCTAGGGCTCATACATGCCAATTCGAGTCGGAAAAGGGTCGCATCAGCATGGTCCGTGGCTTCTACGTTGGACCCATGCACCAGGAACAAAACATATGTATGCCGTGCGTGACTAGATGGGAGGCGTACATGTGGTCACAGCTGCACGATGTGGAGGCTAATGTGCTGCAAAACACTAGGAATGCGCAGCTCTTGCTTTCCTCAAGAGTGCCACTTCATCCATGGTGAGTGAGTTCACTCAATGCCTAGTCAAGATAAGCTAGCGCCCTTATGCGAGCGGCTTGGCCGTGCAGCTAAAGAGGTAAATTACGCTGAGAGCATGCAGATAGTATTCTTGGCTCCTTGCTGGCTCTCTACTGAAGAATTTTACTGATCATTACAGCACTAAAACGGCATTGCTTCAGCAGTGCACCCGCACCTTATAAAACAGTCTCTATATGCCAATATAACCGGCCAGCGCATGCAGCATAGTTCATTTCCAAGCCCCCAAGAAGGCAGAAGCAAGGATGCAGGCAACATACCTGATTGGCTACGTTCAAATATGAATGTAGAGTACATCTTAACAGTAGTGACCAGCAAATTTTCAAGTAATCACCACACAAGAAGATAGCTATTCCAGAAAGAGTCTGCCCTGGAGAAGAACAAATACGAGGGAGCGCGAAGAAACCCGTCCATGGCGAATGCCGTTGTGAACCAGACACCCCATTCTCCTGCAGCAGCAAATCCCCCAATTCGCTCCATCAGCCACCAATTCTGGCTTGCAACAACCCACTTCATCCAAAAAATCCACCTAGGGCTTCTTTGCCGCTTCGCAGAGCCAGAATTCAACACTCTATGGCTCCCTGTCAATCCTAAGCCTGCAATGTGTAGACTCTCACAGCGAATATAGGAAGCCGTTTGACATATCTGTGGCAGCTCAAACTTTCAAGAAAATCGATAGAGTAACGCTAAGCAATAAGTCCTGACAGGATAGCATATGGCCTTAATTACCTGGCCGCAAACTTCGTTGTCGTGGCCCCCGCTGGTACATCTCGTAGAGCCTGCGGGTTCACCCAAAGCAAATCTCCAGGCTTGAAATACGTAGTCCAACGGTTCGGAGCATAACTTTGTTCTTGTCTCCCTCAAGCCACGCGCGCGCATTCACGTGCATTAGCCAGCGCTTCCGTCAATTCCTCCGCTGTAAGGGTGGCTCCTGACCCCAGATTAAAGGTTCAGTCCCGAAGTGGAAGGGTGTCTCTGAGTGTAGACCAGGAATGCGGGACAGCAACGGGTAGGCGAGTCTACTGTTATTCTAGAAGAGTATGCAGCAAAAGGAAGAAATTCAAACCAAACAGTTGGAATTGTTTAGCACAGAGTTGCAAATACCGCAGAACAGTGCGATTGGTGCGCTCCGCTCAGTTGCCTTTAAGCGGTTTGCGGAGGTAATATAATGGTCAATGAGTTTGTGTGCCAGAAGGGTGCGCCAGGAGACACAAACGAATTTCTGATTCTATCTAAGGTAATACTCCTGGGCGTTCCGTGAAGCTTCCAGGTATGAGTTAAGGAGTGATCCAGCCGTAAACGAGCTGGATAAAGGGATAAAATGGGCAGACTTGCTGAGTGTATGCAAAGACGTGTATGCTATCCTACCCATTTAGCTCTGGTACTCCAACACTACAGTCCACTACAGTCCATAGTCAAATAAGTTTGAGTGCTTGCAATAATTGGAAGGCTTTGCAAAGCCCGGAGTCACGAGAAACGTGCCGCATTAGCTGCTGACAATCTGGGTATCACAATGCGTACTCCTCTGCCACAGGACGCGTCCCCGGCCACCAGACGGATCGTGAGAGCTTTTCCACTTCGATGATGTGAATCCCACCGTGACTTGAGATAGCATGATCAACTGGATTGAAGAAGACGATGCTGCGAAGCGCAGTCGCAATGTACGAACGACCGAGATCCCAGATGTTTTCAAAGCAAGGCAACCTCGTCGTGGTAATGTTTCTTCCCTTTGCCACTGCGGATTTTGACAGCAGTAGCGGATGCAAGGGTGTTAAGGACATATTGTGTACGCACTTTCTATGGATTGTGAGTCGTCCCCAACAGCAGCGTTTGCCCTCCACAAAAGAAAGCTCTGGGGCGTCGGGGCCTTGCATCTCGCCCCTCGTCAGCAAACCTGAGCCGTAGGGACTGCGCTATTGAGTCAAACGTCCGAACGTACTTTTAAGCCTTCCCCTCGGATTTCAACTTTACTTTGTATCAAATTTCGATTCCTGTAGCTTTTTTACGCGCTTGCAGTTCCGGATTCTGTGATCAATCCTTCACTATGGAAGAAAGAGCGGTGTTGGGAGGCCCCCTACATGCTCAGAAGGCGAGCTATGTCTGGCGTTGTGTTCTCGTTATCCCCAGGGTGTAGGCATGGGCCGGTTAAGGACACAGCCTCCCACTGTATGAATTCTAAACCGCGATTTGGCTCTTCCATTTCTCTGCGTAGGGACTTTTGCAAACCAACGTTTAATGCTCCTCAATATACGCACCTATTGACAGCTTCCTATGCTTTAGCTTCTTCGATTCTCCCAATGCTTGTTAATCTGCTGACTTTGGTAGAAGTCGATGAAACAGACCTGGTAAAAGGCCGAAATTGTAGTAGTCCCTGCAGACACATGGATTGCTCTGCATGAATACTACGACCCTCAAGTGCCCTTTGTGCCAATAATACATGCCACAGGGAGCGCTCCTTTGTCTTCGTTTCGGAAGTACACCGCGAGGTATATTTCCAGATGGCTGATGAACTCTTCGAGTACTTGCCATCCTTACGACCTGCATAATTTATGGTTGGCACTATCTCATTCACGCATTCATATACATAGTATCTGCTGACAAGTCATGCCAATATTCCGGCTGGGGATCTCCTGCGTTCATACCAGCTGGCAGGCCGGCCTCTGCGATCCCAACAGGCGTGTGCCATTGTCACCCTCCACTGTGAGGGGGGGTCTATTTCCAGGTAATTGCCAGAGAAGATAGAATTATTGGTTCACCAAGCCACTTGATCAAAACTTGCCAACTTTCACAGAAGAACCGGCCATTCATTACGCAACAGCCAGTGGATGAACCGTGGAACTTGC